CTCATCCATTGACAACTTACATCATTTGCTCAGTGCTATATTAAACAGTGTATTGGAAGATAGACTACCTAATAGCTCCAAGCTTCCTAACAGTTTAAATGAAAATTACAAAATGTTTGGAGAGACCCTGCTTTGGAATACAAAGGGTGTTTGAGTTCCAATTTCCATTCTCTGTAGAACAAGAACAGGTCATTCCTTTATTGACATGCATAAAATACATCACATTTTCTGTTCTGCTGATGCTATAGATTCAGTACCACTTCCCCAGCCACATCAGTTATGAGCATGAAGTATATCACGTAAGCTCAACTCTCCAACAGTGGAAGGCTTAGCAAGCATGGATGCTGCTAGAGTAATGCTGCTTCCCTGCCGAGATCACCGCGCATCCATCTCCCCCTCAGATGGCTTCTTCAGCAGTTAGAGCTGCGAGGAATGGTTTAGTCTCATTACCAAGGTAGAGTGAAGACATTGGCCACACAATACACATGCTCCATTTTTGAAAAAATTCTGAATCTTGGGCAACTGTTCTCTTGTAACTACTTTACAGTTTCTAAAAGCAGTTATTGTCCAAAGCTGGAAGAACTTAAGTCTTCTCAGATGAGCATGTGAATGAATGGAGGGAGGTAAACAAAAAAATAAAATTAAAATGAGGTCTGATAGGGGAGCAGCCGGATAAGAAAATCAAAAAAGGAACAGCAATTTAAAGTTTATTCCAGCTATAATGCAGGTTATTCAGATTTTAAGGTAGCATCACAGGCACAGTGCTGAGTCCATTCTCGATATTTTCCGTTGTACTTGTCTCTGTCTGTTTTGTAAATCCGTGCAGTCTGGCACTGGGGGGTCCTCTGGGTTTGGACCACATAGCAGTGAACAAATGGATAAAAGAACTTTAGACATAGTTAAAGCAGGACAGCACTGTGATCTTAGAATATCGAGACACATGCTGCCATCACGTTAACATTTGGATGATAAATTCTTGCTGTAAATGCAACCTTAGGTGGTTTGAAGGGGTAGTCTGTAGGAAAATGAATTGTCAAAAAGAATACTCCGGCTTGGTACGTGCTGTCAGTAGGTCCCATAACTGTGGCTCGCCAGTAGAACATATCATCCCCAACTGGGCCTGCAGAACATTGCGCTGGAGGGTCCGGGGCCAAGTCACTAAGTTCCTTATTAATCCGCTTCAACGCCACGGTCCGTGCGGTCCCGGCCCGCGGTGTCCGCGTGTGCTCAGCCCCGCCGCGTCTGGATGGTCCTCGGCTCTCCGCGGCTCAGACACGGCCGAAGGAGGCGGGTCTCGCGAGAAACGCGGCAGCCTGGCCGAGCTCTGAAGGGTAGTTTTTGGAACTATAGTAACTTTCTTCCCTTATATTTACTGAGTCATTAAAAAGAACTTATTTATTATAATGTTGGCACGTACGATGTAAAAGAAGACTACAGGTAAGTACATGTGTTTATTAGGATTGATTTGATTTTTGTGTAAATAGATCTTTTGACAATCATAATGGTGGGATATAAACTACATTAATAATTCCATTCTGAAAATTGTAAAAACTGTAAGATTAACTACAAACTGAATTGTTTACCATTAAATGGCACACTAAGTGGTCACCTGAAACTAATCATTGACCCTCTTTTTTTCTCCACAAACGCTAGAAGTCAGTGAGTGAGGGAAGCAGTAAGAAGTCAGGCTCCGGGAGTTCTGGGAAAGGTGGAAACCAGCTGCGCTGTCCTAAATGTGGCGACTTGTGCACACATGTAGAGACCTTTGTGTGTAAGTTTCACTTCTTTTGAGCTCCTTTTCTTCTGTCTGTTCCACAAGTCATTAAATGTACAGAAACATGGAAGTTATATAAACCAGAGCTTTTTCTTTCAAAGCTTAAATGATTCTCTAAATATTCAGCAGATACTAAACAGGACTGGTAGTACTTTGCACTGTTTTATAAGAAATAAATGAAAAAATTTGCTTCTGTATTGTGCTTCAGTGCACTAATTTCAAATATGGAATTTGAAAATTGTAATGTGTAATCATTGGGTTGTAGTGAACTGACTTATATTTATTACATTCTTTTTTAAAAAATGTATTTGATATAGGGTCTCACTATGCAGCTCAGACATGTAGTGATCCTCCTGTCTTCAGCCTCCCAAGCACCGGGATTATAGGCATACACCCCCACACCTGGACTTGGTGGCCAGCTCAGTGAGCCTGGGGGCGGGGCCCATGTGGCCTGTGATGCCAGGGATCAAACTCTGGTCCCTGCACCTGGCCTAAGCAAGTGTGGAGCTATCTCACTGGCCCTGTTTATTACATTCTTCAAATACTTATTGAGTATGCCATATGACTAGAAAGATTAATCATTTGAATATTAAGATTACAGGTGTGTGCCCCCACACCTGGCTCTGAAATTTTTTTTTTTTTCCAAAGCACATCTTTATTTTAATAGGTTCTGTGGTATAGCACAGGAGAATCACTAGGTCCTTCAGTAGACTCAAGAATTTCTTAATGTGTAAGTTTCATATATATTTTGATTCAGAGAAAGAATTCAACCTTTCCAGACCTAAAAAGAATAGTTTCTTAAAGTAGAACAGGAAAGAAACTAAGTTTAATAAAGAAATGCCAACATACATAAATTCTGCTTTTACAACCTTATTTTTATCAGAATGAGGAATTTCTCATTTTTATAAGAAGCTGAGATTTAGCAAAGTTAAGTAATTCATTCACAGTCACATACAGTGGTGATTTCCTTTCCTTTTCACAAGTCTCAAACTCATGAATTTCTACCAACTAGAGATTCTTTAGGGATAAACTAGTTCTGCTTAGGGGTTAAACCTTTTTTTTTTTTTTATGCATTGTTTTCAAAACTTGGTGGGATGCAGGAATGGTTGGTGCATGCTTGTAGTACCAGATCTTGAGACAGGAGGGTCACATGCTAAAGGACAGCCTGGACAATTTAGTGAGACTGTCTCAAAACAAAAAGTGAAGAAGGTTGGGGAGATAGCTTGGTAGTCTGAGCGTCTGCCTGGCAAGCCCAAGGACCTGAGAGTAATCTCTGGTACTGCATACCGTTCTGGCCCCGCACCAAGTTGGCCCCTGAAACGCCTGGCATAGTGATGCACACGTGTAATCCCAGCACTGGGGAGGCTGAGAGGATCACTACAAGTTGCATAGTGACAGCCTGTACCAAATAAATAAGTTTTTTTTTTTTTTTAAAGTAAAAAGCTGGAAATAATAGCTCAGTACAAAAGTAAATCTTGGGCCTGCAAGGAAAGCCAACATTTTGGCCCTAGCCTTCCAAGGTCAATTAAGACTCAGTACATATGAGAACTTGTACTGTAACAACATGTAACTCAGTTGTGTCCCACATTCTCTGATCAGGGAGATTATGGGGCCAAAGAGGAAAGTGATCGATGATGTAGAATGTGCCTAAGGAGAGTCACATGGAGAGAAAACATTCTCTCAGGCTTTCACAGAGAGCACATTGGCCAAGCAATGGCCGTGACTCATCCACATGGCTGACACTGACAAAGGATCTACAATCTGAGGTACAGGATCTCAGGATAAATCCTGAGGGGATTTGACTGACCTTATCAGATCCAAAAGCTATAACTCTTGTTGCATAGTTCTTGCTTTATCTTGGTCTTAACCATCCAGCAGAAAAGTATAAAAATGAAGTACAAGAAGTAAAGTCATATTGTTATGTTGAGCTGTAGGGGACTCAGGGCAACAATTTCTGACATTGCCAGTTAAGTGGAAGACCCAGTACTGTTATGGACTACTGGACTATTTTGGAATATTTTGCTGAGTTCACACACCTATAATATTTAAATGATGGTACTAAACAAAAAAAGGGGATACAGATGAATGACCTGTTTGTATCTGTGTATTCAAAATGGTTAGGATAGATATATAGCTACATTCTCTTAATTCAAGGAGTAGAGGGATTTGTTCTAATAGTGTTTGTAAATAGGATATCATGTCTGCATCTTGTACAACAAATAACCACTAGGAAGGCAGTATGCAGTGTGTTAATTATTGGAACGGTCCTACCAATTTCATTTGAAACTGTCTCATTGCTATTTATTTCTCAATAAAATTATGGAAAAATAAATAAATAAAAATTTTTAAAAATAACTCTTGGCTTGATTCCCAGTACCATTTTTAAAAAGTACTGAGTTGTATTAATCACTATGTGTGGGTGATTATTATATAGAGCTTCCAAGGGGGCTTCCCTAGAGATTAAGGTTAGGGGCTGGGGATTTGCCTCAGTGGTAGAATGCTTGCCTAGCAAGCTGGAAGCCCTGGGTTTGGTCCTCAGCACCAAAAACAAAAAATAAAACCTTCCCTAAAAAACAATTCAAAAAAAAAAAAAAAATACAGTAAAATCAAAAAAGACTAAAAACAAGGCAACCTAGATTAAGGTTGTATAGCTATGAGGAGGGATCCTAGACTCTATTTACCAGTTAGACCAATTGTTCAGCAGAACCACTGCTTTATTGTCATCCATTTGAGGCTGAGGCTTGTTTTTTGGGAGTTCTAATGGGAGCTGGTGACATAGGAACACAAAATCCGGAAGAGGAAAATGAGGTACATACTTCGCCAGGCATGGTGGTGCACGCCCATAATCACAGCACGTGGGAGGCTGAGAGAAGAGGATTGCCAAGAGTGTGGGTTGGCTTGAGCTGCATAGTGAGTTCAAGGCCAGGCCAGGCTGTGTAGTGAGAGACCGTATCTCCAAAAGACAAGCGCAGAAGTACACAGCAGCGCCCGGAGCCCTTCTTCTCTTGGTTTTGCTGACCCACAATAAAAGTCTCTTCACAATGTATCCCTTTGAATGTGGAGAACATTCTGTGTATACATATTAAAACTTGGGCTCTTATTGCTGAAAGGTGGGTTTTGCTTTTTTAAAATCTCAAATTATTTTGTTTAAAATTAACACTTAGTAATTGTTCTGGTGGTTTGTTTTTTTTTTTTTAAATTTTGAGACAGTCTTGCTGTGTAGTCCAGGCTGGCCTTGAACTGATTATGTATTCCAGGCTTCCCATGAACTCTTGATCATCCTGTGGCATTTTAGGCCTGCACCACCTCATCTGGATTATTCCGTATGATAAAATTATATGATAGGTGGCATTTCCCCCCCTTTTTCGATTAAGGCTTATAGATGTTACAAAATGTTGGGTTTCAGTGTGTATCATGTATTTTGATAGGAACACAAGGCCCTTGTGTCCCTGTCCACCCCTACCTTACCCTTTTACAGCCCTTCCTCTCCTTCCTCTTTTTGTTATTCTTTCCTCTTGTCTAATAGTAGTCTTCCTTCTGTTTGACTTTTATTTGGGGGAGTTCGTGTTTGGGAGTTGGGGGAGGCTGCATGTTGAATCCAAGGCTTTCACACTAAGCCATTGTCTTTAGTCCTTTTTATATTTTTTTCATGTCTGAGCTACATATCCAGATCCTGTACCAAATAAATACATAAATAAATAAAGTACTTTAAAAAATTATTTGAAAAGTGGGCTGAGGAGATAGCTCAGTAGACTAAGCGCTTCACAAGGTCCTGAGTTCAATCCCCAGTACCACACACACACACACACACCTATATGATAGGGAAATGCCACCTATCATATAATTTTATCATACGGAATAATCCAGATGAGGTGGTGCAGGCCTAAAATGCCACAGGATGATCAAGAGTTCATGGGAAGCCTGGAATACATAATCAGTTCAAGGCCAGCCTGGACTACACAGCAAGACTGTCTCAAAATTTAAAAAAAAAAAACAAACCACCAGAACAATTACTAAGTGTTAATTTTAAACAAAATAATTTGAGATTTTAAAAAAGCAAAACCCACCTTTCAGCAATAAGAGCCCAAGTTTTAATATGTATACACAGAATGTTCTCCACATTCAAAGGGATACATTGTGAAGAGACTTTTATTGTATATATATATACAATTTTTAAAATTGCATTTTATTTTAAAGTTAGAAGTTATCTGCATATTATACAATAGTCCGAAGCTGGAAAAGCCTTCCTGTTGCCTGATTTCAGCCCCTGTTCCTCTTTCAGAGGCACCCAGTGATTCTAGTTGAAAAGAGGACCATTAGCAAGCACTGAGTCTGCTGAGCTATCTCGCTGGCCCTTGATACTGTCTTTCTGTGAAGGATTTTTTTTTTTTTTTTTGGTGGCTTGAACATGCCTTCAGGGCATTTCTGGTTTGGTGGGAGTATCTGGGTTCGAACTAGAGCAACTTGAGCCTCACTGCGACTTAAGCAGGCACATAAACAACTGAGCTAATGGGCAGGCCCCCAAGATACTGTCTTTCTGTGAAGTCCAAGCTGACCTTAAACTTACCACACGCCTGCTTCAGCCTCTCAAGTGCTGGCACACACCACTTGAGTTCTTTTTAATCATTTAGATTTGGGGACAGGGTCTTACTAAGTTGCTCAAACTTGGAATCTCCCTGCATCAGTCTCCCATAATGCTGGGATTATAGGTGTGTAGTGCCACTCCAGGCTTCCCTTCGCTTTCGTCTGTTTTAGATTCTACATGTAAGAGAGAATATAGAATATTTTTCTTTTTGAATCTAGTTTGTTTTTTTCAGTGTTGGGGATGGAACGCTGGACCTTGCGCTTACCAGGCAGGCGCTTATGTTACTGAGCTATATCCCTGGCCCTTGAATCTAGTTTATTTTATTCAACATTTCTGCTGATTGACTGTTTTGAATAATGATACTGCGGACATTTGTATTTTAAGTTTTTGTGTGGACATAGGCTTTTGCTTCTCTTACAAATAAAAATTTTTTTTGTGTGTGTATATTTAGTACAGGGTCTACAGGGTCTCACTGCATAGATGAGACTCGTAGTGATTCTCCTGTTTTCAGGCTTCCAAGCGCTGGGATTACAGGCGCATGCCACCATGCTGTCTCAGTCACCATCTCAGTGCGCCCCGCGGGCGGTGCCAGCGCAGCAGGCTGGGGATCCAGCCCCAGAGCCCCTGCGTCTGCCTAAGCAGGTACTTTAGTCCACTTTGCTATTGGGCCTGCCCAAAAATCTTTTATTTATGTATTTATTTGGTACAAGATCTTGCAATGCAGCTCAGACTCATAATGGTTCTCCTATCTCAGCCTCCCCACAGCATGTGGTACAGAGGATCAAACCTGGGTCCTTGCGCTTGCCAGGCAGGCGCCTAGACTGCTGAGCTATCTCCCCAGTCCCTAGTTTCTCAATGTCCTCTTTACCACTTATTTTACACTCATTGTGGCTGTGAAATAATACCTCATTGTCATTTTAATTTTTATTTCCCTGGTGATGTGTAACATTTTTTGGTGTGCTTATTAGCCATTTGTGTATATCTTTTTGGGAGAAATGACTATTTAAATATTTTTCCTTTCATCATTCTTATTCACTTGACAGGGTCAGATTATGTAGCCTAAGCTGGCTTTGAACTTGCTTTATATCCTGGGCTACCCTCAACTCTCTTTTCTTCCTCAGCTTCCTAGGTGCTGGGATTGTGGGCACATGCCATCACATTCAGCTTCTTTTGTCCATTTTTAAATTGGATTTTCCTTATGTGCTTTAAAAATTCTTTGTATTTTCTGGATATTTAGGTACATGACTTTCAGATAGTCTCTCTACTGAGTAGGTCTTTTCTTTGAAATGCTGTTAGCAGTAGTCAGTAGACTTTTATTGTAAAATGTCAAGCAGTTAATATTTTTGGCTTTGAGGACTGTGTGGCCTCTGTTACAGTTGTTCTACTCTACAATTAAAGTGTGAAAGTAGCCACAGACTGAATGAGTGTGTCTGAGCTCCAGTAAGACTTACGTAGCTGCAATGTAGTGATTAATATAGTCATGATTTTTAAAAAATTAGAATAGGCACTCTCTAGCTTTGTTTGTTTTCCACAGTGAGCTACATCTCATTACCCCCACCTCCCAGTTTTATTTTTATTTTTTTCCCCATTTTTATTTTTAATGTTTTATTTTGAAACAACTTCTTGACAGGTTGCCCAGGCTAGGGTCCAACTTGTGTTCTTCTTGCTTCAGCTTCCTGAAATACTCAGATTACAGGTATTTGCCACCATTCCTGGCTCTTGCTAAGGAAAAGTAGAGTTTACTAGTATGTATGTATGTATGTATGTATGTATTGCCTAGTCAAAATAATTTGTCAAACTTGAACTCTCTCTTTAAGATAGAACCTTTTTATATATATATATAGTATTTTTGAAACTTGCTGTACAGTGGTTTGGAGAATTTATTTTTCATGTTGAAATATGTTCAGAATCATGAGGAACTTCTATCTAAGTGGATCTCCTCAGGCTTGGTGAGCAGCTCACTTGCACAGTGCTTGCCTGACCTTCATGAGACCATGAATGTGATCCCTAGCAACACAAAGCAAAATAAGACCAGCAAAAGCAATCTGAAAATGTTTTGTCTAAGGCATTCTTTCTTATCTTTGACATAGTATACAAGTATGTTTTGAAAAGGATAGGCCATACTTATAGTAAGCCTTTAAAAGAAAAAATACTCCTTTGCAATTGAACAAAATTAGACTCTTGCCCCTTATTTTTAGGAATAAAACATTATATCATATAATGCTTGTAAATTTTTCTCAAATACCATTTTGATAAATATCTTTGAATCCTCAAACTTGAGTATACATATTGAACATATTTCAATGTAAAGTTGTATATGCTGTGTTAAGCAAACCTTCATCAATAAACAAAAGAGGCTATGGTAGGCTAGTATTTAATCTCATACCCTTGACCTAATTTCTTCAGAGAAATATTTTGTTAATATGCTCTCAGGCCAGATTTTCCTGTTACACAGCCTAAACTGGATCAGAGGCGTCCCTGCCCTTTAATCCTTGCCCCATTCACCATGGGTTGCAGGTATAAACTGGTGCCTTATTATAAAATAGAGGCACTTGCTATCTTGCCACTGATGGGAAATAGTGATTATATACTTGGGCTTGTGCTCACTGCACGTTCTTGGAATGGCTTGTTCTTCCTCTTTTTTTAATTTTTTTGAGACAGAGTCTTGCTATGTAGTTCACGCTGGCCTGGAACTAGCTGTATATTCCAGCTTGGCTTGGACCTCCACACTTGGCTGGTACTTTTTGTTAGACAAATATTTATAGTTGATCAATGATTAGAACACATATATGAGCCCATTATAGTTTAAAGTGTACTGCTAGAATTTATCCACATGGATTATTTTCTTTTTTCGAGATAGGTTTTCACTGTGTAGTCCAGGTGCCTGGGACAGCTATGTAGCTCAGGCTGGCTTGGAAGTTGAAGTCCTCCTGCCTCAGCCTCTTGAGTATTCTGGATTAGAGGCATGTACTCAATGATTTTTGGATTAGAGAAACAATGAAGTAAAGATAAATATGTAAAATAATTTCATACATTGATTTGGTAAAAATGCTCATATATGTGATAGAACCTAGTGACTATACCTTTTTATATCTTTAGGAAGTAAAATAGATTTATCTCTCTCAATTTTCATGTACATTTGAAAGTTTTCATTATAAAAAGTGGGAAAATAATCTACTTGTACTTTTTTGCAGTTTATTCAAGTATTTCTATAAAGTAGTTTTGTAGATATTTTCAAAAGTTTTTTAAAAGTGGGTAAAAGGGTCTCAGTCAACTTTTGGTCTTAATAAAGTATATCACGGAATGAAAGGAAACTAACTCTGGTGTGTGTAGTAATCCCAGCACTTGGGAGGCTGAGGCAGGAACATCACTGTGAGTTTGTGGTCAGTCTATTAAAAACAGAAAAGAAAGGAAGGAAGGAGCCTACTAGACATGAAAAGGAAGGTTTCTGACTGCATTTGTCTTTGTTATATACATTTTGTATATTAATGTATTTACTACAAGGTCTACAAGGTCTCACAATACAGATCGGACTCGTAGCGTTCCTCTGTTTTTAGCTGGGATTGAAGGTGCATCTCAGCACTCCCCGGGGGCGGGGCGAGCATGACATGTGGTACTGGGGATCGAACCCCAGTCCCTTGCTGGGTCTGAGCAGGCGCTTTAGTCCACTGAGCTGTCTGGCTGGCCCTTGTCTTTGGAGTATATTTAGTGCATAAGCCAGGCTGTTTTCTTGATTTGTGGTGTGAATCACAAACTTTTGTATTAATGCTTAACTTTTCGCTTATGATGAGTCTTCAAGTTCATAAACATCAATGGAGTTATTTTTATTATCTTCTGCCAACCTCTGTTTTCCTTTTCAGCATCAACTCGTTTTGTCAAGTGTGAAAAATGCCATCACTTTTTTGTTGTGCTATCTGAAGCTGACTCAAAGAAAAGCATAGTCAAAGAGCCTGAATCAGCAGCAGAAGCTGTAAAATTGGCATTCCAGCAGAAACCACCTCCACCTCCCAAGAAGGTACGGGCTGCAGTTCAGTCTCAGACCTTTTATCTTGCTTCCCTAACATGAGTATCTAATACTCTTACTAATTCTTTTAATAAGTTTTTTTTTTTAATTTTATTTATTTATTTGTGTGTGTGTGTGTGTGGCCAGCTCAGCCCACCAGGGGGCGGGACTGGCTGGCATGTGGTGCTGGGGGATTGAACTGCGGTCCCTGTGCTTTGCTAAGCTTGTTCTAAGTAGGTGCTTTAGACCACTGAGCCATCTCACCAGCCCCTCTTACTAATTCTTAATAGGCTACTCTATCCCTGCAAAATGTTAATGATATTTGATACAGTTCTTTGTCCTTTGTCAAGATTATTATGTGTAGTATCAATGGAATGTAGTTAGATTTTTTAATTTACTTTTTTTGTGTGTGTAATGGTTACAGTGGTACTGGGAATAAAATCTAGCTCTATCCCCAGCCCATTTTTCATTTTGAGACAGGATCTCACTAGGTTGCTCCGAATTTATGATCTTCCTGTCTCAACCTCGCTTAGTACAGGTATTATAGAGGTCTCTCAGCATGTCTGGGTAGTTGGGTGATTATTAAAATGGTATTAGAACCAAGTTGATGTGAAATAATACCCTTGTGTAGTTCAGCTATTGACTTTTTGGGGCCCCTAAAATGACACCAGCCTGCAGTGATCACCCTTACATTAGTTTATTTTATGGTAAAATAGTTCTGAGCCTAAAAGTATCAGTAGGTGCTTTTGTTGCCAGGCAGCGTGCCGGGGCTTCCCTGTGTATCACTGGAGCTCTTCCGTGCAGCCTCTCCGTGAGTCTCAGGCAGGGGGTGCTGTGGGCCTGTGAAGCGTGGCGGAGCACACACTAGCTCCTTGGCGCATGCACTGTTTTTGAACCAGAAGCTCTTGCCTCCTGGCGGAGCTCGTTGTCCTGGCTGTATCTCAGAGGTCTTCACACTGACTTACTTCCCATTTTATGCCTTCTTGTACTGTGCTTAGATACCAGTGCTTCTCTCTCTGTCTCTACATGTGCTGTTGTAGGTTGAATAATCATAGGTATAATCTGTGAAGAATGAAGGAGACTTTTTTTTTCAGGAGAGGAAAAAGTATGTAAATTTATTTTACACAGTTGGGTGAAAAATAAATTTGAGAGAAAGTAAGATAAAATTTAGTATGGTCTCCTATGCCCTGAAGGAGGTGGTGCCTGATTTGGAGGGGAAATCGCTATGTTGAAGGAGACCTTAAAATCTATTAAAATATATAACAGCTAAAGAATTTATCATGTAAAAATAATGTAATAGAAGATACAGCAATTGGTTTTTGTTTTTGTTTTTGCTTTTAAGACAAGGTCTTGCTGTGCAGTTCAGGCTGGCCTTAAGCTGACTTTGGCCCAGGCTGGTCTACTGTCTCTGCCTCCTCAGCACTGGTATTAGCAGGTGTGCACCACCACACCCAGCTCAGCAACTAAGTTTTGTATTTCTAAAAATTTGTGTACATTGATACATCCATGTAAAGTTCTAGAAAAGACAAACTCTCTTCAGGTGTTGCGAGGTATTAATGTTTATTTTTCCCTCCCCATTGGTACTAGGGATTGAGCCTCGTAAATGCTGAGCTGTATCTTCAGTCCTTTCTGCTTTTTAAATTGGAAACAGAACAGATGTGGTGGCTCATGCCTGTAATCCCAGCTCTTGGGAGGATGAGGCAGGAGGAGCGCCATGTGTTCAAGGCCAGCTATATAGTGAGTTTAAGGCCTGTCTGAACTACATAGCAAAACCTTGTCTTAAGAAAACAAAAAACAAAAGACATAAATGTGATACAAAATATCAGTAAGTTTCCCATGATTGGCCTTAAGCTCCCTATCCTCCTGCCTCAGCCTCCCAAGTAGGTGGTACTATAAGTATAAATAGTTCTTTTTTTTTTTTTTTTTTAATATTTTAGGGAAGGGTCTACAGGGTGTTCAGGGTCTCACTACTAGATGGGACTCATAGTGGTCCGCCTATTTACAGCCTCCCAAGAGCTGGGATTACAGGCATGAACCACCACGCCCAGTCTCTGCTACCCTTTTTTTTTTTGGCAGAACTGGGGATTGAACTCAGATCCTTGTGCTTGCCAGGGAAGCGCTTATTCCACTGAGCCATCTCCCTGGTCCACCACACCCAGTCTCAGTTGCCATCACAGTGTGCCCTGGGGGTGGGGCCAGCACCAGTGCGGCATGCTTGGGGATCGAACCCCAAACAGTTCATTAAAAAAAAAAAAAAAATTAAGACTCTCTTTGGTACATGGTGTGCTATGCAGCTTGGACTCGTGGTGATCCTCCTACCTCAGCCTCCCCAGTGCTGGGATTACAGGCGTGTGCCACCACACCTGGTTTCGGTGGCCAGCTCGGCATGGGGCTGGCACAGCATGCGGAGTGGAACCTGGGTTCTTGTGCTTGCCAGGCAGGTGCTTAGACTGCCAAGCTATTTCCGCAGCCCTAACAGTTCATTTTTATTTGGTAAAAAAACACTAAAAGAATTTACCCCATCCAAAGCTAGTGGCAATAACCAAGTATGGAATAAAGCTAAGAATGGGCTGGGGTGATCAATGATGTAGAGTGTGCCTAAAGCTACAATTCTTGTTACATAGGTTTTGCTTTATCTTGGTCTTAACCATCCAGCAGAAAAGTATAAAAACGAAGTACAAGAAGTAAAGCCATGTTGTTATGTTGAGCTGTGGGGGACTCAGGGCAACAATTTCTGACATTGCCAGTCAAGCGGAAGACCCAGTACTGTATGGACTACTGGACTATTTTGGAATATTTTGCTGATTTCACACACCTATAATATTTAAACGATGGAACTAAATAAAAAAAGGAGATATAGATGACCAGTTTGTATTTGTGTATTCAAAATGGTTAGGATAGATATATAGCTACATTCTCTTAATTCAAGGAGTAGAGGGATTTGTTCTAATAGTGTTTGTAAATAGGATATCATGTCTGCATCTTGTGCAACAAATAACCACTAGGAAGGCAAAATGCAGTGTGCTAATTATTGGAACGGTCCTACCAATTTCATTTGAAACTGTCTCATTGCTATTTATTTCTCAATAAAATTATGGGGGAAAAAAAAGAGAATGGGCTGGGGATACAGCTCAGTGGCACAGCACCTGCCTGGCAAGCATGAGGTCCTGAGTTTCATTCCTGATTCCCCCAAAAAAGAATATAGCTAAGAATAAAACTTTTAAGTTGGCCTTTGGGTTCATTAATTAAATTAAGATAATATTGGAAAGCCAGGTACGTATTATACTCCTATAATCCCAGTTACACCAGAGGATGAGCCAGGAGGACTAGTCTGGCCAGTTTATCCAACTCACGTCTCAAAATGACATGACATGAAATGAAAGGGTCTGCAGATGTGGCTCCATGGCAGAACACTTGCTTAGCATGCGTGAGGCCTTGGTTTCATTCACTCCTACCTTGCAGGGGATTAATATTAGTCTCTCTTTTTTTAATATTAGTCTTAACACACATGGATACTGGTAGGATAATGGCTTTTGGTAATATAATACCTACTGCTGAAAAAGGTAATTTTATAATCTTGTGAAGGATATTATGTGGGGAGAAGTGTAGAAAGAATTTATTTTAGTTATTTACATTAATGATGTTAGTTTTAGACCTTTGGTGGCAGAAGTATTCCGTGTAAGGTCAGTGTCAGCTTTTGTGAAAAAATTAGAATTGATGGCATTACTTGTACATTAGAAACTAGCATGACACTCATAGAAAACAGTGGTGTTTTGTTAAGTGAGATAGGGTTTATAATGTTTGAATCGTTGTTACATAATGTATTGGTCCCTTAATTTGTTTACATTTTTGTGTATTTAAAGAAAGGGTGTTGCCGTGTATCCCAAGTTAGCCTTAACTCTTGATCCTTCTGCTTCCCAGTTGCTGGGATTATGCTGTGCATCCTTTTGTCCAGCAGCATTTCATTTAAAAAATCATTTATTTATTTATTCATTTTTTTAGTACAGCGTCTCCCTACCAGCTTGGTCTCATAGTGATCCTCGTGTCTCAGCCACCCCAGTGCTGGATTATAGGCATGCAACACCATGCCCATTTTCAGTGGCCAGCATGTCCTGGGGTTCCAGGACCTGTGACACCAAGGATCAAACCCGGCTCCTTGCACTTGCCAGGCAGGCGCTTTGACTGCTGAGCTATCTCCCCAACCTCTAGCATTTCTT